CAGCCAGGCCCCATGGCTGGCAAGACCTGGCTGAGCCCAGCACATAGTTCCCGTGTGCCACGCCGGGTCCTGCCGCCATGTCTCAGAGCACCTCACTCCCACAGCTGCTGCTAAAGGTAAGTTATGGGCCCTGGGCGGGGGGCTGTGGCCCTCCGGGGGGAGCTGGAACCCTGGGCAGGGGGGCTGTGGCCCTCCAGGGTGCCTGGGACCCTAGGCAGGGGGCTGGCACCCTGTGGGGCATAGGGGCTGTGGCCCACCAGGGGAGAGCTGCGGGACTGTAGGGGGGTGGGGGGGCCTTCCATGTGCTGTGGGGGGGCTGCACCCTGTGGGAGCTAGGGGACCCACCCCTCCTGAGCAGCCCCCCCACAAGGTGCCCCACAGGTACAGTCCCCCCAGTAATTGCCCTACACCTACCCACACACCAACCCATATCCTTCCACACACCCAACCACTTTCCCCCTGCCCCTTCCCACCCACTTCCTGCAAACACCACAACCTCCCATCACACACCCATCATGTGCGAAGAAAACCAAAAGTACACATCAACACATATAGCTATTTAGAATATAGATTCATAGATGTTAGGGTCAGAAGGGACCTCAGTAGATCATTGAGTCCGACCCCCTGCATAGGCTGGAGAGTGCTGGGGTTAGATGACCCCAGCTAGATGCCTATCTAACCTCCTCTTGAAGACCCCCAGGGTAGGGGAGAGCACCACCTCCCTTGGGAGCCCGTTCCAGACTTTGGCCACTCTAACTGTGAAGAAGTTCTTCCTAATGTCCAATCTAAATCTGCTCTCTGCTAGCTTATGGCCATTATTTCTTGTAACCCCCGGGGGCGCCTTGGTGAATAAAACCTCACCCATTCCCTTCTGTGCCCCCGTGATGAATTTATAGGCAGCCACAAGGTCGCCTCTCAACCTTCTCTTGCGGAGGCTGAAGAGGTCCAGGTGCCCTAGTCTCTCCTCATAGGGCTTGGCCTGCAAGCCCTTAACCATACGAGTGGCCCTTCTCTGGACCCTCTCCAGGTTATCCACATCCCTCTTGAAGTGCGGCGCCCAAAATTGCATGCAGTATTCCAACTGCGGTCTGACCAGCGCCCGATAGAGGGGCAGTATCACCTCCTTGGCTCTATTTGTCGTGCACCTGCTGATGCACGATAAGGTGCTTATCTGCTGCTAGACCACACTTTTGGATATATTCTGCAGTGTTTCCAGAGTGTAATAATTTAACGGTATAATGGATATTTGGAGCTAATCTTTTATTTAAGGAGAACAGGGAAGGGAGAAAGAAAAAAGGAAGTTCTAGTTGCTTTTTAGATTAAAAATTTAGGTCTTGATTAAAATGTTGTTTTCTGAAATGCTCTATGAACAGCCTGAGAACAATGGTAGTAGTATTGTTAGAGACACTGGTGAATGAAGTCTGAATGAAGGCTGGATCCTCCAAGTGTAGGGGTATGACTCGTGTTGTAATATGGGAGACAAAACTTGCACTTGAAGGAATTATGTAGGAGAAATTCAGTAAGGGGATTTTTGAGGAGATTTGCATTAAAACTGTCACAACCCAAAGTTGTGGTTTTTTGTTTTTGTGTGCTTCGGCACTGCTAAATTATGTTCCCGCCAAATTGCAGCTTCTTTACACGGTAGAGTTTTCTTTTGCAATAGGAAAACCCACGTGCAAAAGAGTATTTCCCGCCGTTTATAGCCTTCTTTGCATGGTGCATTTCTTTTGCATCATAGTGATGCACGGTGCAAAGGAGTTCCCGCTATTTGTATTGAGATTCGCGCCACATTATTGGCCGATCTTAGTATAGGCACACGTGGCGGCGAGCGGATTGGTTGTGTACCGTCTAAAGAGCTTGGGTAGTTTCTGCCCAAGTTGGAGAGAGAGAGAGAGAAAGCAATTGGAGTTTGGGAGAAGGAGCGTGAAGATCTCTAAGCACTGCTAATCCCTTCAAACCCAGCTTTTTTCTTTCTCCTTAAGAGGGCAATAGAGGGCTGATTTACCGAACTCACGGAGTCTTAACAACTCCAGGGGACCTATTTATCGAACCCATGGAGCTTCCCCCCCCCGGGGCCCAAACGCCCTTTAGCCTCTCCCCGTCGCCGAGCGCAATCCTAAAATATATCCCTTTCCTTTGAAACTACCGAACCCGCAGAGCTTCAACTACTCCTGGGCCAATTTTCGGAGTCCTCTAGTGAGGATTTAAGCGGAGCTGAGCCTGGAAAACTGTCCAGCCTACACCACGACCATCTTTGGTGTAAGTAAACAATCTTTTAATCAACCATTACGCGTCTGTAACTAATTCTAGCTCGCCACCGGTCTTCTTCGACCCCGCATGCCCAGGCTGCTGGCCACAGCCTGCGTGCACAAAGACGGGTTCGCATACCGCTCCTAGCCCACACATGGCTGCATGGATGGGATCGGGAGGCAGCCCGCACAAAAACCAGCAGGTTTTAATGCATGAGTGGGTGTTCTGTACTAAAATATCTAAGGAGAAAACATGTGGCAGAATGATGGTCTAAATGAATGTCACAAAAAAAGCCTAAGGAAGGGTATGAAAGCTTTTATACATTCTTCCCAACTGTACAGTTGGGCCAACAGAAGACATCATAGAGAAAAATCTTTGCCTCACAAAAAAGTTCTAACTTTTGCTTCTCATTAATAATATTTAATTTTGTACGTATAATATCTTAACTGGATGGAATGCACCTGCTTCTGTATGATCTTGGAACTTGGGCCTTACTTGCATTTGGATCAGAGACCAACTTGCAATTGCAGATGCCATAGACACAAGCCAAAGAGCTGCAGTTGAACACTTGGCAAACATTAGACTATAGAACTGGCAACATTTTATTTGGCCCCATTATTGCTGCTGAGTTGATCAGTGGAATAAAAGGAAAGAACTTGTATAACTCCTGACTAGTCTTGCACTATAGCTGCATAAGCTTGGGAAAGTCCCATCACCCAGTGAAGTCACTGATCTATACATGTGTTAATGGCCTTTAAGAGTCTTGTTTTGCCAGTTGTAATAAGTATCGGGGTGTCACTCCAGAAAGATAATAGACTTCCTGAGATTCTGTCAACAACACACACAAAGCTATTAAAGATGATGGGGAAAACATTACTGATTATAATCTGGAAAAGGGGAGGGGCAGTAGAGCCAAATGAACAGGACGTTAACTTGGCCTTAATGTTCTTTATTGCTTATCTGGTCCCCAACTTAAAAAATAGAGGCAGGAGGAGAGAGTTTTGAATAAAACTGAATTCTTGAATTATTGAGAAAGGATACTTTTTAATTAAAGGACGGTATTTTTACAGATCACGCCCCTTTCTGGGAAAAGTGCTTTGGGACTCCCCAAGAAGCCTTATTTAGTCTCCTTCTCCTGAAGTACCCCCCTGAAGCCAGCCCTGGTGTAGCTTCACAAGGGCCGAGCCTTGGCTTGAGACCTTGATCTGCCAAAGCCTGGCTTCTCTGGCTTCCCTGGTGATCTGTAGTACCTCCTCTTTTGAAGACGTCCTTCTTTTTAATCAGCTCCTGTGAAAGGGAGAGTTTTCTTCTTCAAAAAGGATGGGAAGGGGTCAGAGTGCTGATGCCTCAAACAGCACTGCAGACTGCTCCGCTGCTGACAAACAGTCTTTATTGTGCTACTACAGTTCCCTCTGTCCTTCCTCAGACTCCACTCTGTCCTCCCTGGGACTACTCTCTTTTCTCTCCAACTCTTTCAGAACCTCACTTATTCCCTTGTGCAGACACCCACCCTTGCAACAAAACTGTTACAAAATTATAATGTTAATCCAGGAACTAACACTCAGGCACTCAAGTATCAATGAAGCATAAAGTTATGGGTAGCCAATCAGGGAGAAGTTTCTATGACCTACTGCCATCTTCTCCTGGGTGAAAATGGCACCTAGGTGTCCTACTTATTATTTACAGCAAAACATGCTTACGCTGAGACGGCCAAAGTGTTCCCCACAAGAACTGCAGGCTAGAACTCAGCCTACTTAGTCTTTTTCATCACAAGTATTTATTTTGGGAGTATCATCAGCTGCTTTCCTCCATCACTCTATTCCTAAAGGAGAATCATAAATCTTAAGGCCAGAAGGGATCATAATGGCCATATAGTTTGACCTCTTTCTTCACAAGGGGAGAATGATATGGCATAAACTTAAACGTAACAACATGAGTGGGCCACTTAGAGGTTCACAGGAAACAGGAAACATCCAGGACAACTAAAACCTGTTGGAAGGATTTAAATTTTTATCTAAGCCCTCATTCAGGTTCTTGAGCATGTTCTTAGCTTTAGACATTGAAGTCTAGTGGGACTTGACTTCAGTGGGTCTACTCACATGCTTAAAGTTAGGGACATACTTAGGAACTTTGCTGAATTAGTCAATCTGGACTGGCAAGTGTGGTCTTTTTCTCATTAGTAGTCCATTATACCTGGTTACTGCAGAGTTTTCCCAGCATAGGGGAAAGTGAATTGTGTAAATTTAAGTCTGTATATATTAAATACATTTAAATACACAAGATGGATGGTAAGCATGACTTCTGCTTCTGACTAAATGGATACAAACAGTCAGGCATCCCCAATCCAAACAGCACATCCGGTAATATACCAGTACAGTAGCTCAACAATGATGCTATTTAAAATATTTTGAATAAGTATTATGATAGCAAATGATAAATAATACTAGATATGTGAGCAGACAGAAATTGCTGTTGGAGCATCCCCAAGAGCAAAGGAAAGCAAAATTAGAGTTTCAACTGCTAAGTGGCTATGGTTCCTAGTGCTGTGCCCTGAAAAACAGCTTGCTTAGTGATGGGAATAAAGCCATGTGACCCTAAAAGGGTGTAACACAAGGAGGTGCTTCCCCAGTGTACTGGAAAACTTGGAGAGGAATTCTGAGACTGCTTTCTTTTCCAAAACGCTTGCTTAGGGTGTGCAGCTACCTCTTCTACCATGCAGATTGGTCTTAAGGGTGAGAGAGGAACTCAATTCTTATGCTTGCCTGTGTTATGCTGCTCTGGTCCCATTTCAAAGTGTTCTAAAGTATTATCACTGTACTCATGACACTCCTTGTGATAATCCTTTTGCTTTGAAATTACATGGTCT